TTTAATTCTGTTTTCATTTGTGATTCAACCTGTTAATATTTCATTTTAAAAATTGATTTACGTAATATCCACAGTAAAATCCTTGTCAATCATATACAAGTGACGCGACAGTGAATATATCAAGCAATCGTATCATCGGTGCGAATAATTTCCTCTCACCGTTCTGTTATCACCAAAACTACCAGCGTAGAATGTATACTAAATTAAATTAATAACGTACATAACATATAATACAGTCTAGCCTAATATAATATAAAATGCATAGTAAATTAAACGTCATAATAATTCCGTAAAAAGTATTACACCTTTACTAATGCATAATAATGTAAAAGAAAATAAGAAATCTACAATCCGTCATTTTGACGGGTCTGGTAGGTTTAGTGTCAATTCATCGGTGTTTCCCTAAAGAGTAATTCGGCTCGTCAAAAGTACTTCTGCAACTGTACGCCTCGAAAATGGCTCCTTACTTTTTCCTCGGGACTAACCTGGTGAAAGTTAACGGCCGGCATGATTAAGAGCGAAATTTCGTGCGAACTTTCTGTACCGGTTGGATAATCTGAATCAATTTCGTGCATAAAATTGGACGGATGATGTATTGCACGTAAGAAGGTAAGAGTGAAAGAGCGAAAAAAAGCGGAAGAACACGAGGAAAATAGTCGTGCAAGGTAACCACAGTACGATTATTCCGTGCCACGTTTCTCTGATATTTGCCCTTTGTACTACTGTTAATGGTTAGCGACTTCGAATTGGCTCGCGCTACCGGGCACCGCTAATGGCTCTGATATTTATTGACTTGTACTACTGGGGAATATTAACACTGTCTGCGACTAACGATCCATACGGTTAGAAAACTCGTGGAGCAATATTTATTCGTGTCGAGCGAAATGTACCTGGACGGTTGTGATTGATCTGTTTGCCATCGGAATTATTGACTCGTTCTACTGAAAATTGGTGGCGTCGACTCGTACTACTAGAAGTTTATGTTACGATTGATACCGATAATTCGTGGACAATTTTCATGTTGCAAAGCGACACTCTTCCCGATCTGGACGTATGGAATCCAACTGTGCACTTGCACGAAGAAGTCTGATATGGATATTATACAACGCTTCCAGGACAAATTTTTGCGAGAAATGCAACGTCACATAAATGTCGTTATTTTTGTCATCAGATATTTACAAAGAATAATAATAATTAAACAGATTCTACCTCTGAAGGATTACCAAAGATACCTTCTCGCACGACTCACTAATATCGACCACATTCGCTAATTGACCCAGTTGGGTCAGTCGCAAATTTAAGAAACAAGCTATACAAAAAATCTTCGCTTCGTAATACCTGCCGTATCGATAAGTGAATCTCTACATTATCTTTTATTACTGAAAATGGTATGGTGCTCGTACTACGTTGACTTGCACTACTGAGAACGGTGTGATTCCTGTACTATATTGACTTGTACTACTGAAAACGAAGATCAACGAAGCACAATAAACAACTTAGCCACCTCCACCGAATACTCTTGTAAATTGACATAAAAATCGAGTACTGATATTTTAGAAATACTCCATACCGGACAATTCTTCCTTCCTCCAAATAAGTAATTATACCTCATCCCCAAACCCCAACCACAAAATCGATTAACACCACAGCCACGGGATTCCCCTCTATTTTTTTCGTGTGAGAAGAAGGGTATCCAGGCGTGATATACAGACTTCCACCAGCGCGGACAACGAGCATTCAGGATTTATCATTCCGGCTGGCGCGCGCGCGTGTGTCCGCGAGTTCATTCGTCAGCGAGAGAGTTACACACCTAGCCAGCGCGTCGAGGCTGATACATCTGAAAAAAAAAAAACGCTACTGTATGGATGTGGGAGGAACCGGGCGAAAGAAGAGAGTACGGCGACGAGCAGAACGACGAAAATGGATGCAGCTGCGGGCCCGCAAGCACGGCCGCTGATTACGGCACGTCGAGCCTCGCACCTGCTCGCTCGCTCGCGTGTGGCCAGCACGGAGAGAGGATTTCGGCTGCGTCGTCGTTGAATTATGTGCTCGATTAACCTCGAATCGATTTCAGGCACGGCGTTGATGCGGCATCGAAACGACAAGAGAAAATAACGATTCTCCGCTTGGAAACTGCGGACTAGTCCCTGTTCCTTTTGGATACACGCGCGTGTGTGAACACCCTTGAACCGGAAGTATCGGTGTACTGGATAGATAGTTTGTTCTTTCTGCATCAGGATCCATTCTTAACCCTTTAGTACCGAGGTGGAGTCACAGAAGAGAAGATACCGAGATGTTAAAGTACCTTTTTATCTACAGAGTGTCTAAGGTAGCACAATCGGGTAGGTGTTGATTTTATAAGGAAGGAGTCGAAGCTGAAGAGTAAATTAACGACAAGAATATGTAAGTAAAAATATCGGTTCCTGTTTAAAAATTTTACTACGACCTTCACATGCTGGTTCAAGGTTATTGCAAGGTCAAGGAGACAAGAGTATGTCCCTCTTGATGTCATACGATTTTTCGCGGAAATATGTTTTTGTATCATTCATATTTTTCGAGATGTTAGAGAGTCCTCAGATAAACTAGTCGTACACGTAACGCATCTCGGTGAGGGAAATTAAAGAAGACATCTAAACGACAGAATTAGAATCGAGCCTCGTCGAACAGAGGAAATTCTTGTTGGAGGCGACCTTATCACACTCTTGACTCTAATTAAAATTGTAACGGCCGCGAATAACCGGGACTGCGTGACATTCTTTCGCGGCCCGTTGCCCGTCCCGTCGAGAATTGGGGTCGTACACGTATACGAGAGGAGGACCGAAGTTGGAGGATGAGCAGGCCGGAGCGATAGTTAATTGGGTCATCGTGGCGTCCCGTTTAACTAATGTTTAATTCGTCTCGTTACTAAGCCGACCCAAGTGATTAATTTCGATTAACCGCGCCGCCAGTCTGGCCCCGTTAAGCCACCTAGACTTATCGCTATTCGGTAATTATATTTCGGAATTATGATAGTTTCTTGTCGAGAACGGGGCGGTAGCTTAGCAGCTTCGCGACCGACGACGAGGTTTTTGTTCACAGAGCATCGTGAATGAAGCCTGCGCGTACTATTATACGATGTGTATATACTCGTTGACAAAAATTGAAAACACGATATTCTCTGTGAGCGTTGGAAATAAATTGAGAGTAAGTAGTATAGGTCGTTGAAAGTCAGACAGAACCTAAACTAAAAAATCATTGCTATTCTAAGTGAATCTAAGTATTTCTTGTGATTATTTCTCTATTATTTATGATCGAAATCACACAAATTTCTCTCTAAAAAGAATACAGAACACTTTTCCTTAACAGACAATTGAAAAGGCATTAAAGAATCTCGTAAAACTTTCTGAGACATTTAGAAAAATATTCGACAAATTTAATTCGACAATCTTTCAGTTTCATTCAAGTAAGAAAAATCGGCACCCAGATACGAGTTCTCGTGGCAAAGCGGAAACATTTTCAGCCTGTCATAAATTTGTTTTTTTTTATGCACCAAGCTGAGCCTCTGTTTAGCTTCTGTTTTGATTGGTTCCAGACGGTATCCCTCCAGCCCCTCCCAGTAGTGGAAATAACGCCGTTATTTATGTCGCAATCATCGAAGGATTACTGTACAAATAAAGTATTAGAAAAAAAAATCATGGCCGTAGTTTTAACGTTCGGAAAATAGAACGAAAACTGAATTAAATCGATTCTCAACGAATAAAAATCGAAATACAAGCGACAATCCTGATCAATTAAAAGCGACACCTAACCGATTATCATTCGAAACGAGGATTCATCGCTTTAATTTAAAATTGAATGTCTCTGAATCTTTGACGTGAACTTTTACGTGTGTTAGGGGTATCGTGTCGCGTGAAACGTTCACATCGAATCGGGGAACACACCGTCGAATTCCACCACAAATAGAATCGTTAATCCGGCCCACCTTGTTTTTTCGTTCATGTTCCGTTCCGTCGATGCCGGTCAGAGTTCCCGGTGGAGGCTTGAGAGAACAAAATTCCAGTGTGAAAGGTAATGGAATTTCGTCCCGTTGACTAAGTGGATGCAAAATCAGTTTTTCAGTTTCGCAAGTGAATTCTACCGGGGGCACACCGCCAGACCGGGACGGTATTAAATTTCCCAGCCAGGTACAAATTCTCCCGAAAATTCGTTGTACAATCCTTGAAACGATGAAGTCTGCGTACGCTTCGTGTATAACTGTGACAATTGTGCTCGTGTTTCTCTCTCTTTTTTATTTTGGAACGAAGTTGTATTTTCGTTCCTCGAACGCATTTTTACTGTTGTGGCAAACAATATTTTTTATTGACTAATTGGAAAAATTATATTCTTGTATCTGAATGTTATTCCTCGTTTCTTTTTCTCTTAGTTTGGAGTGATTTGTATTATATGGAAGATTTACTATATTATACAGGGTGTTCTACGATAAGTGCCGTTTGATATAACTACCGAACAGTAAGTGATAGGACAAAACTGTAACGAGATTTTTGTCATTTTTTATGTAGAATGTCACTGTGAAATCAAAATATTTTTTCTTTAATTTTTCAAGGTCATACTAAAGTCATCTCGTGTTTTTTAAGCTCGCTAACTGCATTTGTTTACTATATACAGTAGACCCCTATTTTGTCACTTTAGTGATTCGTTTTAATGATTTAAATAGTCTGAAAATGACTATTGGTTCTTGATTTTATGAACAAAAATTTGTACAAGATATCAAAAAGATGCAATGAACGGGTTAAACGAAATACTATATTTTTGTCAAGGTCATTTCAAAGATATTCGTTGAATTTGTTTTTTTTCTGTACTTCCGGATTACCAAAGACAAAAGTGTGCATCAAATTGGTAAGTGAATATTGCAGTGAGTTATCTCACTTTAAATCTAACACCCAGAAAAAGATATAAATTTACGGGGATGACCAAATAGGTTCTCAAAAAAAGTGTTCGAATTTCTTCGAAGATTCACTCACCTCCGCGGGAAAAGCGTAGTTGTTGATACGGTGCTCCGAGCCATGGTCGTCCTCCTGACCGTAGTGAATGTAGATCTCCTCGAATTGGTAGTGATAGGCCAACGGGCCACCCGTTATATTCACTCGAACCTTCGCGTCACGGTCCGCTCTGAATACCAGAACATGACCGGTGTTCTGTAAACTTCCGGAAACCTGGGAACGGAAATTGATTGGGCGGTCTTTAAAATATATTTAAAATACGGGAACCGTGGAAATCCCGGTCGAATTCGCCCGGTTTTTCTGTGGACACAGCGTATCCCAGAAATAAACGGCGTAACACGTATACAGTAAGATCGTTGGATAATTGTTTAATGACTCAATGTTTTACTAATGCTAATCGATATATCGTAGAATATATAAAGTCAATGTTATTTGAAGTGAAGAAGCGCCGAAACGTAAGTAGTAGTGGAGTGTCAGTAGTCAGACGTATACTGTAATAATAGGCTGAGGATATTCATGCAAATATAGAATTTTACGGATTAATTTATAGACACTAAAATAAATTCTCCTCCTTTATTTAAATTGTGTTGATCTTCGCAAAATCAATGAATAAATTGATCCAAGCTAACAGATCGATATCGAATATTACAATTTCAGAAAATTCAATAATAATAAAACGAACTTTCGCAATTACCGTAAAAATTGGAAGCTTCTGTCATGTGCCAAGAAATAATTTCAGTATTAAGTATTGAAGACGATATGGAAATTGGAACTAAATTAAGTTCAAAGTTACTTAATTCGCAGTTCAAAATCGTCTTTACAATTTACAAGAATCGATCGATTTCCCATTTTGAATGATAAAGTAGCAAATACACGCATTTACGTTCGAAGACATTTTCTCCGTAAATATTATGAGCAATAATTATCTAGTATTGCGTGGAATATCTCATACAACTTTTCCTCCCACTTTATTTGTTTTGTTTCAGCCGGCCTCGGTGTGTTCGGTAAATAAAACCAGCGGTAGAGATGACGAGACCAGGGGCGAAACGATACGCAGAAAAGGAAACACGATGCGCGCGAGCGGTGCATAATTAAAATGGCGTAACTCTATTAAGTTGCGCACGAAACGCAATTATCCCGTATTACGCGTCCACGGGCAAATCGTTTTCATTTAAAATCACCGTTATTCCACCGGTAAAATTTCAATCCACAGCCGTCCATTAAATTACAGTGTCCCGGTATAAAAGTCTGATGGTTGATTAAAACTAATGGATAATTAAACTACCTTCGGCGGACTCTCTCCTCGATCGATCGATTCCCAGGGACTTTCTCGGGTAAGTTAATAGTCATGTCTTCGCTGATTTCATCGAGAATTTCTGAAACGATCGGAAATAATGGATTCTCGAATTGTTTCCGTCTCGAATGCGTTAATTAATTTTGTAACGAATGTATACAACAAATATCATGTGAAATAATTATCCGATGATTCGTGCATCAATATCGCTACAAAAACAAATGTATTTATAGCATATATTTGTCTATATAACGCGATAATATCGGTATTTTCATCAAATTTCACGGAATGCTTATATTACTTCGAATTCATGGAGAATTTATCATAAAGAAAATAAAATTCTATTTGATGTTCATTCTACTAATATTGTCTGTTGACATAAAAATTTACATAAAATTCTACCGATCATTGCATCAACTCCACAATATAATTACATTTAATTTTTTAGTACTAAATGTAACCATTTCAGTTGGGATACAACGTAAAGAAGTATCTCAGAATATGGTGGCCACCGTGTTTATATTCTTTAAATTATAATACAGAGAATGAAACCGTGCTTAATGATCTCTAGATTCGTGATTTACAAATATTTGGCTGATTTTTTTTCGTTTGGAATCATGAAATTACAGTTTACAATATCCAATTTATACGAAACAGGACAATTTGACACTAGACCTACCAAACTAGTCAAAATGGCAGTTTGTATAGTTCCCATTTTACGATTACGGAGATTACAGTAGTGCTTTTGGGGGAATCTAGGTTGACTTTTAATTTACTATACATTTTATATTATACTATATTATGCTAAATTCTATCTACTATTTATTATTTATATTATTATATTATATAATTTAATTTAGTATACATTCAGTGCTGGTTATTCCGATGCTAATAGCAGTGTTTACGATTGAGTGTTCAACAATATTAAATTAACCCTCATCCGTTCCTTGTGTCAATTCGATACATTTCTCTACTAAGTTATTCTGTCATGTGAAATGTATATACATATATCTGAGGCGTCGCAATTTTTATTTAAAAAAAAATTTGCAAATGAAACTATTTATCTCTTCATTATATTAATTTTTTACCATTGTGTTAAATTTGACACCGAGAGACAAATTAAATTGGAAAAATTGAACATAACCAATTAAATTGGTTAAAATGAACACGCTATAAAAAAAACGGTCCCGCGATTAAGTTCAAGAAGTTGTTTCCTCCCTTACGTGAATACAGTCGCCGTAAAAAGTTCATCCTAAGAAAGTTTGTAAAACGGTCTTATGAGAGTGTCGGGCGGTCACGGGCTGCGTACAAAGCGTTAATTTCGAGTTCAGGAGATGAGCCCGCGCGCACGGTCAAGGGCTTTACGAAATTTCACCACATTCCTAAATTATCTCCCCTGTGACCTCACCTTGGATTCTGCGTTCCCCGTCTTTCGACCTTCCCTTCCCCTCCCTCCGACGCTAATATTCCCTTTGCGAAGCCTTTAATTAGTACACCGCCGAAACGTAATAGATGGAATCGTCGAACTCGATGAAACTTTCTGTAGCGACTTGTTGTCATTTTGCGGCTGTTGGAATTATTAATATCTAAAGGATGTTACAGGGGACAGTTTCAAGGATGACATTAACCGAATAGTTGGGATAGTTCAGTTCATTTGTTGTTAATTATATTAGTTGCATAAGTGCTTTGCGAAGTTTGATAGTTTGAAGCTGTTGGTAGTGCCTCATTATAAGGATTACAATTAGGTCTGACGATTAGATTATAGAGAGCAGTGAACATTACTCGAATAGATTAAATATGGTTAAAATTGGTACCATGTTTTTGGATATTTCGAATACATTCAATTTCCGTAGAATAGAATTGAATACGTTCAGATGCTCGAAGTGCTGCTCGGATATTTCAAATGCTTGGACGATTCCACCAGAGTCGAGAAGAATTCAATTTGGAACAAAATTAATAACCGAATAAATAATTTAATAAACTCCGTAACTTATACTGATTATACAAATTTCAATAATTGCATCACCACCCACAGGAACTAATCAATTTCTCAAGTACGTAATCAGATGTTATTTAATAACCCTAACATTACTGTTTTCTATCAGCATTTTTTATAATAACTAAATAACAGCGTCGTCACTCGAAAATTCGGACTTTTATCGGGGCGGTAACTCAAATTCGAGCCGTAAACCCCGAATTATCAGTCCTTGGTTGGACAAACGATCGGGGGCGACCCGCGGAAACGGAAGGCAACTGCGACTGCTGTTGTGATTTCCCGTGCTCGTTACCCAGGCGTAGGAGGCATGACGATTTCACGGGGACGTGCCGCGAATCCGAAGAATCGACGAATCGGAATCCTTTCGAGGGCGAACGGAGGGCGGGGATTTGAAACGAAACGCGTGAATATGAAAATTGCACGCGTCAGTGTAAGGAAGATGTATCGTCGGGAGCGCGAGGGGAATTTACTCGTCGACGATCGCCAAGAAATATCCGTCTTGAACGTCTTTACGTTATGACGTTCGGCTAACTTTCTAAGGTGATCAGCTGTTTTCGTCAAGAATTAAGGAAATATGATTTTTAATAAGTGCTTAAAGGAAAATTTGATAACTTTGAATATCTAAAAAGTATTTTTTATGATATTTTACCTTATTCACATTTATTTTGTAATTTTGCATCAGCTGCAATAGCAATTAATTAATATAAAATATAATTTTCCAATAAATACCTCCATCTCCCTCTTCATCACGGTATTACTATTGGCTGGTATGCACTGTCATTATTAGGCTGCCGCTATTAAGTTGTCACTATTACGTTGTCACTATTACGCTGTCACTATTACGCTGTCACTATTACACTACTGTTATTATTAGGGGAGAACAGGGTTGGAAGTAATAGGGGTAGGTTGTCACAGAGCTTATAACTTTTTAAATGAAAGAGACAGCGCTGCGATAACAAATAATCAATAAATTATGATGATTAATTGATCTCATTAAGAAGATAATGTTATGTTGTGCTAATTACAAAACGACAATTTATGTTATGTCGAATATGTATTAATGAAGAAATAATGTCGTGTTGATCGAATTAAAGAAAAATTTGGTAACAAACCATTCAATTTCTATTATAACCATATTTTTATATCTACAATAGTTTTAAAGATATATGGAAACACCTATCTACCTTCAAGGGATGTTTTGAACTGAAATTGGGCCAAAAACAAAAATTGCGCCATACTTCTCTCGAGGTCCCCTACAAACCTGCAAAGTTAAAAAAAAAATCGGAATTTTCGGGTTAACGAACTTCCCTTGTGAGCCCAATAAATGAATAAAATTCGCAGTCCAGATTCCCGTCGTTTGTCCACAAAACTATCATTTCATCGAATCACTGCTGAATCGTGAAGTCCCCGCGCACGAAATCAATCGCCAGCAAGAGAAAAAGTCGTCGGAAAATATCGTTCCCAAGACGATCATTCCCAACGGCCGCAGATAATTCGAACGCGGCGCAACCTCGAAGAACGCGCTCTCGGTAACGGCAACGAACGTGTTTCGGGCGCAACGAGCAAGAAATGGCGTGAACTCGTCCTTCCCCTCCCCCCACCCCCACGGTGGATAATTGATTAGGCATTTAATTGGACGGAATAGCAAGGCCAGACACTGTGCACCGTGTCGCTGGCGGCGAGAGAGTGCAAGACGAGGCCCGGGAAGTCCATTTTCTTGTACGTCGCGGGTAGCTGAATTATGGCGTCATCAGTTAGAAATAATGAGGTAACCTCGGGGAGGTACCAGCCGCGGACGACGCGTCGGCAAAAGTCGCCGGGGAGATAACTTATTATTTTGCAATAGATTTTCTTCTCTAGGTTCCTCCACTCTCCCATCCACCACACACACATAAAACTGGTCGCCCTTTATCCACCTCTACT